CTCTAGCCAGGGCAACAGAGTGAGATTCTGTCTCAAAAAAAAAAAAAAAAAAATAGTGACAAAGCAAGGTATTAAGATGTCATGATAGTATGATCCCAGTTTTATTTTTTAAAAATTAAATGTATGAAGATGTAAGCACATAAAACATTCCTGAAAGCAAATAAAAAGGTTAATAAACATTATTATTGAGAGTGACTTATTCTGTTTTGCATGTTTTCTTTTTCTGTAATGAGTTATGTTTTTTTTCAAAAGCCACCTTCACCAGCAGATTCTTTTATGTGTTAGAACTAATGAATGTGCTTCAAAATAAAATTAAGGGGGAATTTTTGTACTCAACAGTTTTAGGTTGTTTTAGATTAGTTGTCCTTAGTTTTATGTAACATAATTTTGTTCTTCGAAGGTGACTATAGATTTGCTTTGGTTTATATGGTTATTTTTATAAAAATACCAGAAATGTATTGTTTTTATGGGAAAATCAAAATTGATTTAGAATATTGTCTATAGAGGTATATAAAAATAGGATTTGCAAAACAAGTGAATTAGGGACATATGTTATATATTATGAATTGTTCAGCATAAGCTTCCTTTGCCATATATTGAATTATATATTATGAATGATATATTCTATGTATTATAAATTATAAAATAATTCAGCATAAGCTTCCCTTGTTTTTTTAAAAAAAGTAAAACCATTTCCCAGGTATATAATTTATGTTTTTTAGAAAATTAGATTCCATAAAATTTCAGGGGAACGGTGTTTTATAAAATCACATACATATACTATGCTCAGTGTATTTCTTTCCTAGTTCTCATATGTAGATGGTAGAACTAATTAATATCTTATATTTTAGGATATGTCAGCATATGTGAAAAAAATCCAGTTTAAATTACATGAAAGCTATGGCAATCCTTTAAGAGGTACAGTACAGTCTTTTGAGTCATAGTATACAAAGTTAAAAAGAGCTAGGAAACTAAATCAGTAATGTACAATATTTTTTTCTCTTCAGTTGTTACTAAACCTCCATATGAAATTACTGAAACGGGATGGGGTGAATTTGAAATAATCATCAAAATATTTTTCATTGACCCTAATGAAAGACCTGTGAGTAACATTAATCTTTGCAAATATATGTTTTAGTAACTGTGAAAATGTAATAATACTTAATGAATATGTATGAAGATATAAGCACATAAAATATTCCTAAAAGCAAATTTTTTTTAATATTGTTTATTAAGATGTACTTTATGTAAGCTTATGGGATAATGTATCTTGCCATGAGTTAAAATTTTCCATTTTTAAGTGAAGTGCCTTTTAAAACTTTTTTTTTTAAGTATGGAAAGAAGGGATATAATATGAATATATATTGGAAAGAAACTGGAAATCAGATGATTAATATAGCAAAAAAAATCTAAAATTCATTAGTATCATTTGGTTGTTAGTAATAAACAAGTTGAGTCCATATGCTCTTAAGAAGTTAAGCTCTTAGAAACAGTCTTTCTGCTTTTTTAAGCTGCCATCAGTACTATCAGCTTTATTTTATATCTTTCATGAATATTTATAACCACTGACTTTTTCATCTTTTGATCTTTTCTTATCAGATTATTGCTTGATAATGTAAAATATCCCTCCAGGCTTTCCCTTTGATCCTTCAGCAGCTTTGTGAGGTTAGTGATATCCTCATTTTAGAGATGAGGATACTAAGGCTCAGACGTCAAGTCATATGCTCAAAAGCACTCACTCACTGGTGACAGAGCTTGTTTTTGAACCCAGGTATTTGCCTTCAGACCTTCTTTCTAGTACTTTTTCTTTTGACTAAAACCACTAAACCTTTTTTTAAAAAAACAAACAAACAAACAAAAAACCTAAAAGATCCCAACTCACTTATGGCTCTCTCATTCCACAAATGTGTGGCCGGGAGTTGACTCCAGTTTCAGGGCTTTAACATTCATCACCATTAATTTTCATCATGTTAGAATCAGCTCCTTCTTTTAGCACCAAATATTTAGGGTCTAATTATCAGATTACATTTTTTAAAACTATGTGCTTTTTTTTCTTTGAGAGGGTCTTACTCTGCTGTCCAGGCTGGAATTCAGTGGTGCAGTTCACTGTAACCTTGAATTCCTGGGCTTAAGGAATTCTCCTGCCTTAGCCTTCTGAATAGCTAGGAGTACAGGTGTGCCACCACACAGGGCTAATTGCTTTTTTTAAAGATTTTTTTTTAGTGACAAGATCTTGCTTTGCCCAGGCTTGTGGTTGTGGGTTTTTTTTTGTTTGTGAGACAGAGTCTCACTCTTTTGCCCAGGCTAGAGTGAGTGCCGTGGCGTCAGCCTAGCTCACAGCAACCTCAAACTCCTGGGCTCAAGCGATCCTTCTGCCTCAGCCTCCCGAGTAGCTGGGACTACAGGCATGTGCCACCATGCCCGGCTAATTTTTTCTATATATATTTTTAGTTGTCCGATTAATTTCTTTCTGTTTTTAGTAGAGACGGGGGTCTCGCTCTTGCTCAGGCTGGTCTCGAACTCCTGAGCTCAAACAATCCGCCCGCGTCGGCCTCCCAGAGTGCTAGGATTACAGGCGTGAGCCACCGCGCCAGGCCGTGGTTGTGCTTTTAAAGGAGTTGAATATCACCTGGGCCAATGGTTCAGAGAACCATTTCCTAACGGGCACATCGGAAACATCTGAGGTACTTTTTAAGCATTCAAACTCTGAGGCCTCCTTCTCTGGAGAATCTAATTCAATAGGCTTGGAGTGGGGCCAACAACCCAGGTGATGTTGATGCACAGTGAGATTTGGGACCCATTGATGTAATCCTTACTCTTCCTACGTAGGAATGTATTTAGGCAATCTCTCAAATGAGAATTTAGTTTGGGCTTGCATATCTCCAGTGTGGAAGATTAACTTCTATGCTTAAGTGAAACATCCTGTTCAGGTTTGGGGTAGTTCTTGTTGTTTAAGAAAGCTGTTACTTTATGTTACATTTCCTTAAACTTTTTACTGATAGCTGTTCATATATTAGTTTTCTCCTGAATAAATATTCATGACTCATTTAAATATTTTTTATGTGATAGGGTTTTTAGATCTCCTGCCATTCTTGTCCTTTAACACTCTCACACACTTTATATTCTGTTTGGCAAGAAATTATTACATATTCATTATTTGCAAGGTACTGTTTAAGGGATTGAGAAGGATACAAAGACAAGATGCTGTGCCTGACCTTAATGAGTATAGTCTATTAGGGAGAATAGAGCACAGAAGTCAGCAAATGTTGAGAGGGAGGGAAAAGGAGATGCCCATGATGTTAGTAGAGCAGAAGCTCTTTTTAACTTTGTTAAGATTGCTGTATTTTCATTTTTATTTTGAGAATATGCTGCCTCACCTCTCTGTCTGCTCATCTGTCAACTCTCACCCCCAATTGGAAAATACACCTATGAAAGAAATCATTATATCATTATGAGACAGCTCCCAAAGTCACTCTTAGAAAGGTAAAGTAAAACAACCTGGCCGGGCGCGGTGGCTCACGCCTGTAATCCTAGCACTCTGGGAGGCC